TGGGTTTGGATGGTAGGGCTATTGAGGGAACATTTGGTAGAGGAACTGTTTCAGGACCGCTGATCTCCAGCAAATTCTTGTCGAGCTCCTCCTGTTCTAGTGCTTCCAATTCTGCCATGAGCTCATCCTCATCAAACACTTCTCCAAACCCTACAGGTTTAGAAATAGCTGTGGAAATCTCCTCTGCAAGTTCTTGCTGGTCAGCAATATCCTGCATTAACTCATCAACTTTATTGATGTCCATGTTGTCATGTGCGGCCTTCATGGCCTTAGCAGCGTAGCCCATGTTCTTGAGCACCTCGGTGTTGGTGTTGGCGTTCTCCAGGGCTTCCCGCTGGAACTCGATGGTGGACAGCGTGCCATCAATCTGCGCCAGCTGCTTCTCGTACCTCTTCTTGCGCTTCAGTGCCTGGAGGGCCGCGCGCTTGTTTTTGGTGCCGTGCTTCTTGGCGGCCGTCAATTCTTGCTCAATCTTCTTCTCCAGGAACTCTTGTTTTTTGCTTAGCATCTCCTCCGTGTCCCGCAGTCGCTGGATGGCCTCCTGGGGGGTCGGGCCGCCCTTGCCGGCCTTACCCCCACCAGCCCCAAACAGCTTCCCGAACACCGACATGGTTTCTACTCGCCGCGCCGGCCTTTGCCGCCCGCTCTGGATCGGCTAGGCTCGGCCCCGGCGCCCTCTCCCGGCCACACAGCTCCCTGCCGCCGCAGGCCTCTCCTCCGCCTCCGCCCCTCTTCTGCTTTTTATCATGATTGATTAGGTTTGTTCTCAACATAAATTATATGCTCCCCTTTTCATTTAACAAAATGGGTATGTGTATGACACAATTTGAGTTGATTTATATATGTTATCAAAGTTTACTGTTTTCCATAAAGATATTCAGTTGGTCAGGGATCATATGATGAGGTTTGTTTCTATACTGAATTACTTTGGTATCTATATGAAAAATCAGTGAACTTATAAGAATAGATCTACTTTATTCTTTCTGCTCACCTATCCATTTGTCTACTTTTCTCCTAATATTGTACCTCTTTAATTAATGCGTATTTACAGTAATTCTTGAAGTAAGGTGGTGTAAGTGGTCCAGGTTTTGTGTCCTTTTCTAGGTTGTTTGTACTATACCCAGCCCTTGGCATTTCTATATAAGTTTAAAGTCAACTTTTGAAATTCTATTTTTAAAAGCAAGCTAGAATTATGATTGGAATTGTACCAGATTTATAGAACAAATTGGAGAGAAATAAGACCTTAACAATATTGAGTTTTGCAATTCATTTACATGATATATCATCCTGTTTATTTGGGTCTTTAGAATTTCTTTTAACATTTTTCCCATTTTTAGTTTAAATGCCAAGATAATATTTGTGAATATGTAATAAGTATTTATGGTTTTTGATGCCATGATGAAATTCTTAGTTTTGATTATCCATTTACTTACTGCAAGTAGTAAGAAATAAAATTAGATTATTTTTTTGACTTTTTATCCTTTGTCCTTGATAAATTTACTGATTAACTCTAGCACTTGCTTGTAGATTCTTTAAAATTTTCAATGTAAAAATCATATCATCTGAAAATACAATAGTTTTGCTTCTTTATTCCATTTGAATGCCTGTTTTTCTTGTTTGTATTATATTGGGTAGGACTTCTACCTTATGCATTGTTGAATAGAAGTGGTGTTAGAATATCTGATTCATCTCAAAACTTAGGAAAATATACTCAATATTTTATCATCAAGTATAATTTTAGAAATAGGTTTTTTATAGATTCCCTGAATAAAATTGAAGAGGTTCTTTTCTATTTGTAGTTCTTGAAGAGTTTGTATGATGATTGTATGTACAATTTTCATTAAATGTTTTTCTTCATATTGAGATAATATGATAATTTTACTCTTTATGTTAATGATAATTACATTGATTTTAAATACCAAACCAGTCTTACATTATCAAGATAAACTCTATATTACCATGGTATATTGTCCCTTTTATATATTGTTAGATTCAATTTACCATTGTTTTGTCAAGGAATTTTGCATCTTCAGTTCCAAATGCATATTTGTTCATGAAGCTTTTTCCTTCTAATATGTTTGTGAAATTTTTATATTAGTATTTTTATGTTTTGTCTTACCAATTTGAGAAGCATTTTTTCCAGTTTTATTTTATGAAGTTATGAAATGTTGGCATTAGTTCATCAATAACTTTTATAGAATTCACAGGTGTTATAGCTTGTATTTAGCTGTCCCTCCAAATCTTCATGTAGTCATTGGGGCAGGCTTCCAAAGATTGTAATTAATTCATGACCCAATGCTGGAATTATGGGTGTGAGTACTACACTTGCTGTGGAGCTAAATGTCTAAGTACAATATAACGAAAGGAGAGAGGCTGCTGCCTCTGGGCTTCCCTTTTTGCTTTTGCTGTTTTGCTGTTTTCTGCCATCATGAACTGCTGCCATCTGCCATGGGTCATTCTGCCTTGCACCCAGCTGCATATGGCCTGGAAACTTCACAAACTGTGAGCTAGATAACCCTTTTGTTCCTTAATTTTGGGTGTTGGGTATTTTGCCCCAGCAACAAGAGAAAAGTAAACAAGCCAACAGGTAAACCATATGAGTCTAGATTTTTATGAAGAAATGCTTAGTTTCATTTTTAATAGATATGTTCCAATTCACATTTTCTATTTCTCCTCTTATCAGTGCTGGTGATTTGTAAATTTAAAGGAATGTGTCTATTTTTGTCCAAAATGCTGAACTTATTGAATAAATTTGTAGAAAATATTGCATTGGCATTATTTTAATACCTGCATCAGTCATTGCTTACTAGAGTCAAATGTAGAAGAGTGCAAGATATATGTAAGCACACTAGAGATCTCAAGAATCCAACCAAGTGCCTGGATCCCAAAACAGTGTCCTGCACAAGTCCAGCTAAAGGCCTAGAACAATGTCCCATGCAAGTTGAAGGAATAGCCAAAGCTTCTCTGAGAAAATTAGCACAAAATCTCCTGTTCCTCTTTTCTTTTTATACCCATCCCCAGGCTAATTCAGCCCAAATGAGTTGACCATCAATTCTAACCAAAGTTGACAGTTCATCAACCATGCCCATACTATTTTAATGAGCATTTTGAATTAAAAACAATAGTTTTTTGTTCCTCTGTTCCCTCCACGCTTTTCAGTTTACCTATTCAAAGAATCAAATTATTACTCTGTTAATTGTTCTGATTTTTTTACTATGGAGATGATTTTGTGTCTTTATCACTTTGCCATTTATTTGTAATTTAATGTGCTTTTTTGCTTAGCTTTTAGGGAGGAAACTTTTTAAATAATTTTATTGAGAAACAGATAGCAATGAGACAGTTTCAAAACCAATCAGTAGGACAGTTTCAATACTAAATACATTGCACATTGTTATCTCAGTGTTTATTCATTGTATAAGATACAGACATGACATCCCGCCCACAAACACTATTAGAACAAATCTTCTTATTTATTGAATTAAGAGAATGTAGCTGTATATCTATCCTAACTTTTTTAAATATACAGATACAAAATGGTCAGTCATTTGTACACCCTTTTTTGTTTAGTTTTGTTAGAGAATGATATTCCATTGTCATTTAAATATTGTAGGTGTGTGAATTCATCAAAATATTCCAATATAGCCTATAATAGTAGTGGGTTATCCACACAACTGGCAATGTCAGAAGTTGTTGTTTTGAGCCCTTTACAGCCCAGCGTACCAACATGGTTTCACCCCTTATACCTCGTTTTGATACCTTTCTGCTGGATAGTTAAGACCAAGATAAAGCAAAACCTATATAACAAGAAATGCAACTTTTGTATCTGATAAGGTTAGTCAAGTCCCCTTAGGATTTATCCTGAAACCCTGTACCACACTTTGTAGATCCTTTATCAGAGTCAGCCATGTGGATGAGTCACGGCCATTGCTTGACCAACTTGCTCTCTGTGAAAGTCTGAGAGAATGTTTTCTCTCCATGTGACTCTCCTTAGGTACACTCTACATCATTGGTCACTTTCCTCTGTGGCACCATAATCAAGGAGGAAACTTTGAACATTGAAGTTAAACCCTTATCATTTCAAATACAAATGCATATGGAAGAAATTTTCCATAGAACACTGCTTTTGATTGCCTCTTCCAAAATTTGGTGACATGTCTTAAAATTTTCCTTCAATTTTAAATATTTTCTAATTTCCCTTGGGATTTTTTTGACCAGTTTTTATTTGGAAGTATGTCATTTAATTTTCTAATATTTGGAACTTTTTCAGATGCCATACTTTTGTTATTTTTTAATTTACTTCTAGGTGATTAAAGATTATACAATATAGGATTTTGGTATTTATAAATAAATCAAGGTATATTTTATCTGGAAAATGGCCTAAGTTAGTGAATATTTCTCAGACAATTGAAACAAATGTATATTGTATAGTTTATGGATTTGGCTAGCCTTCCATAAATGTCAGTCAAGTTGGTTGATAGTTTTGTTCAAACCTTTTATATGTCTGCTGATATTTTCCTGCTTTTCTGTTACTTTCTGAGGAGGAAAATCTTCAATTTTCTTTTGCTGTGAATTTATTCTTCTCTATATTTTGCAGTTCTAATACAGGCATTTCAAAGTATTGTTTTTTAAGTTTGTGTCCTTCTGATGAATTGACCTTAAAATTCTAAACTGACCTTCATTATTTCTGCTACCATTCTCTCCTTTGAAATTTTCTCTCTCTGATATTATATAGCCATCTTAGCTTTCTGATGCTTAATCTTTGTGTAATGTACCTTTTTTCTTTTCATTTTCAACTTGTCTTTGTATTTAAATTTTCTGAGAGTTTTCAGCATTAGCTTTCACTTTTTTAAACAATCTGTCATTCTTTGCCTTTTTTCAAAATGTTGAATTAATTTACATTTAACGTAAATATTGATAAATTTAGTTTAAGCTTCCCATCTTGATATTTGTATTCTCATAGTTTTATCTCATTTTTGTTCCTCTGTTCCTACTTTCCTGGTTTCTTTTGGATTAATTCAGTCAGTAACTTCATTGGTCTATTTTAATTCCTGTAAAATGCCTCTTCATTTTTAGTGCTTGCTTTAATATTGGGTTTCTCAACTTCATCACTATTGACATTTTAGTCTTGATCATTATGTGACTGTGTTTAGTAATATTTCTGATTTTTACTTACTACAACCTTTCAGCTTTCCTTCAAATATTTTCTAGCCATTCCCTTTCTTCTCTAACCATGTTAGATTACTTAATACTTGTTAGATTACTTAATAGTGCTCCACATGTAACTGAAATTCAGTTACATTTTTAAGTCTCTTTTCATTGAGGTAGGGAATTTGTTTTATTTTTCTTTCAATAATTCCATTTTCTGTCTCCATTTTTATGTTAATCACATCCAATGACTTTTTCATAGAAAATATCTAGTTCATTTTTATAATTTTAATTTATCTACTGAGATTTTCCATCTATTCGCTAATTAATACTGTCTTTCCCATTAATGTTCCTTTTACTTTTCTACATTTAACTGAAATGTAAAATGTAAAAATAATGTAAACATTGTAAAATAAATATTGTAAATAACAGGGTACCATTTAATTTTTGATACATATATATGTTGCATAGAATGTAAATTAGTATAAATATATTTGTCTTCTTGAAACATTTACCATTTGTGGTGAAAACATTTAAAATATTTTCTTCCAGCTTTTTGAAATGGAGGATATATTCTTGTATCTAT